AAAAAAAAAAAAAAAAAAACTATTGTGTTGTGATTTGTGATTTATCATTTCATTCAAGTAGCCTGATTCATCATCTCACTTCATGAAAACCACCTGACTGCATTAGGTTTCGTTCGCTCGACAGTAGGCGTGTACTTTTTTATTTAACCAGTCACTGCTATTTGGTCGTGACGTATATAATGCGCCAAATCCCATAGGAAGAAGGGCAATAACGTCTTTCCCTTTCATAAAATTCACCAAACATTCTCTTTGTTCTGGCTTTAAATCCTTGATCTCCGGAATCATTGCAAACACAGAATGTCTGTCTTCGTCTACATCCATCTCGACCGCTTTGTTTACTGTTGTGCTGTACCACAAAAGGGACCAGACAGGCGCTTGAGTCTGATGTTATGGCTTCACAGCTCTTCGCTGATTGGCCGTTGCGTGGTCTACTACTTCAAGAGTTCTTGCAAACAGTCTAGTGTATTCCGATTCCTGACCTAGTCGCTGGAGAGAAATGAAATAGAGTGGAGACACTAGGTTGCGCTAGCCTGGCTATCATTCAAGTACTGACATTTGGGAAAAAAAAGAATATAATATGAACAACTAAACTGATATAGGAATCATAAATACAGGACGTTACTGCTATACTGTAGATTATCCTAGGACACAGTATTGTATGTGTGGCTAAAATGATAAATGCTATTGTGCAGGCTTGTGGACACTCAAATCTCTTCAGACAGTAAAGTGTGAGGGTTAGGATGTCCTGAGACAGAGCAGCAAAACAGACTCACTCAAATTTCCACGCGCTGTGAAAAGTGATCTCTACACATCTTCCTCCTCTTCCTTTTCCTCAGTTAGTCTAACCCCAGTCTCAAAGGCATCTCTCTGAGCACCAAAGATCAGCTGATAATGACTTTCTTTATTGCACCCCGATGAGGCGGACATTGTCGCTAGGGGAGCCGATACACGCCGGCCAAACAATAAAAGGGATGACTGGGAGAATGTGTTGATTTAAAATGGGAACTTTGTCATGTTTTAATTGTATTATTTGAACATTTTAGGGTATCGCTCAGAAGACTAGCTCTCCTAATCTAGAGTCAAAGATTTTCCTCAGACTTTCAATTTTCCCTGACCAAACACTAATAAACAGAGCCTGGATCTGGAGTTTGATCCCACTGCTGCTAACATGTTACCCCAATTTGAAACATGGGGCAAATGCAGAGGACAAATTTACCTATGGGGGCAATAAAGTCCACCTTAAAGGGCCCATATTACATGATTATCTGTTACAATGTTGTTTCCTCATCATAAACATACATGGACTTGTGTTTTGTTTCATTCACACACACGTTTAACACACAAATCTACAACACAAATGTTCTTCCCTCAAATGGAAAAAAACTTTGCTCCACTGTATTTTTAAACTCTATAAACTGTCACTAGTATCATTTGGTTAATTGGTATATTTTTGATGAGGTAAAAACATTCTAACATAGTTCAATTTTGTGTATTATATGACCTTTAACCTCAAGTCCTATCTTATCTAAGAGAATGTAGATAGTATTGTATTATATCAAGTATTGTTGCATCGCTAAATAAATAAGTAGATACAGAGAGAGAGAGGGGGAAAGAGAGAGAGAGAGGAGATAGAGAAATTGTGAAAAGAAGAGGCAGATCTTAAAATAAAAACATCAACATGAAAAGACAAATGATATCTCTTTGCGTTATTTACTTTGTGAGTAAACAGAGTTAAAGTTGGAGGATTCGTGTGAAGAGCTCTTGAGGATGGAGAGAGATAAAGTGAAATGGTAAACCTGCACTACTCCTCTGACACTTGAGATCCGCCCTGACACAGACTGCACTAGGCCTTCAAACTTCACTATTACACATACACACTACCAGGCAAAAGTTTGGGCACACCTTCTCATTCAGAGTTTGTTCTCAGGGTCAAGAAATGCCAAAAGTGCAAAACCAGGGTTCTGTTTTGTTTTTTTGCATTTACTGTATCCTATGTGTCATAGCTTTGATGCCGTTAATGAGAATTTGCAATGCAAATAATGGAAATAAAGAAGAAAAATAACGTGTCCAAACTATTCAGTGGTAGAGTACACATTTCCTGTTTCAGTGTGCAGGGCAGGAGGATAGGTCAGAATTTCATGGTAATATTTGCCTTTTAACTGTCAGATTGCAGATTGTTTGACCTGCTTTGAGGTTAATATCTCTGTAATTGGCCTGTCCACATGAAACAAAAACTGACACGTCTTTCAATATCTTCTCGTCAGCACCATGGAAGTAAGATTACTTTTTTCACCTTTTTAAATGTATTTTATTTTTATTCATTCACAAAAAGAAAATTGTTATTTAAAAAACTTAAAGCCATATGTGGCAAGTTTAAAAAGAATCAACATTTGTGAATTTCCAGTTTGGGGATTTCCTTTAAAAATAGTAAATCGTATATGTAGATGTATATGCATATGCTCCATGATTTTAAAATAAAAACACAATAACACAAAATAACACAATGAAGTATTCAAATAAACAATATTCAACCAGATTTAAGACATTTCCCCACTTGAAATCATTACCTCCATTAACTTAATTTTCCAGTGACCGCTGACCTGGGATATTGTGCGTCACCCCCTGAGGGACATCGGCGCCCCCTGTGTATGAGGTGATGATTGCGTGTGTCACATTCAGCTTGTTTATATTTTACAGTCCACAGACTAGACACAAGACTCAGTTAAGATCAAACATATGTTCCCCATGTGTCTCTACCACAGCCCGCCGGTCAACTCTGCAACTGTGCCACTAAGGATGGGAAAATTTACTTCCTAACAAACACATTTACATGCCCAATTTTCTCCAAAAGCTACTAAATAAGTGGATTAAGGTTGTAATCGTGTCAATGGATTTGTGGTTTAAGTGTCATGGTTATAGCTGTCCTCCTGTGGGTTAGTCTACTTCAGCAACTGTGTAAGCTCAGACCTGGTTTAGTTCTAGTTTAGGCCTGTAATAGTCCTGTTATAGACTTGGTTGAGATTTGGTGGTACTCGGAAATCCATATATATTCTTAGCACGTAATCACATATAAACTGCAATTTGAGCTGGAGCACTATCAAATCTCAAAAGGCTAAAATTATTTATTTAGAAAGTCCTCTGAAAAGAACAAAATATCCTGTCTTTTTACCGATTTTTTTATAAACATGCAATGGAAGGCATAGTATTCTTGAATTAATTTATTATTATATTAGATTTCAGCCTTCTCTCAATTATTAATACGCCTGAAGTAGTTTATAATGTGCACTCTCAAGAGAATCCTACTTTTTAAAAAAATTATTGCAAATCTAATATCAATTGATTTTATTATTATTATTTTTTTTTTTTCAGAATCGTGCAGCCCTAATAAATGGTGGTGCATTTGAAAAACACTAGCTGTATCTCAACGGGATGCAACGCAAATGTTATGTAATTTGTTTTTGGAACAATCATATCATATTTTAGTCAGTGTGCCATTTTGTCTACTCTTTCAAATATGATCTACGAGCATGAGATCTACTTAAAGGTGCACTGCGTAACATTTGTATGGGAGCCACCTGCTTGTCTCCATGGAAATGTTATTGCTTTGTTTAGAATGTTCCACACTATAGATGAAACCTAAATCTAACACAAGGGAGACAAGCAGGTTACAGCACTACGCTACATTACAATTCAGATCTGTGGAGAGTCGTCACTATTCACAAGAGGAAATACTGTATTATTTTTGAGCATCTGGAGTGAATAAACATTAAATTGATATGTTTAATGTCATACCACGAAAGCAATGACAGGCAAAGCAATGACATCTCCATGGAGACACACAGGTAGTGGATGCTCCACCAGAAAACTTGCAGTGCCCCTTTAAGAAGACACAGCAAAACCATCTCAAAATCATGCATTAAGAAAGTATTGCAGCACCCAAAGCAACTGCTTATGTTGACTAAGAATACACACAGCTTAATCCTTAAACCACCTTATCTATACAAACATATTTATAATGAATGACCTATACGTCAACAACACATTTGCGAGGCACGACTGATAAATCTTTTACACCATTACCACTTCTGTGTGCGAGATGTCGTCAGCGCACTGTAAAAAACATGAATATTTAAAAGACCACATCCTATCCACTTCCAGGCTAAATCTAATCTGCAATAAGAATGTTTACATGTGACTTAAACTGAACCTAAATCTCAAATTTCCAGTTACCAAAGTCACAAATTAAATCAAACAATCTATTTTTTTTTTTTATCCATCATCCCTCTTACCATTCAAGTGGTTGGACTTACTCACTTAAAATGGTTCACAATAACTTGATTTGATTATTTTTAACCTGATGCCCATTCACACATTTAGCTCTACCATTGATCCACCAGTCCGTAATAGTTGTGAGATCATGGGGTCCTTTTTATAAGGGACACCCTATAAACCCTAAACACACATATTACGCACTGGTCCCATGCAGCCTTAAGAGAGTATTGGCAATATATGGCATAATCAACAGTGAAACTCAGGCCCTGTATGTGATAAGATAAGCAGAGATCATAAAGCATATTAGCGCACAGTGCATCAGAAAGAATCAAATAGTAATGAGCTGAATCACTCTGTCCCCAGCTTCCCCTTGCTCCGAACTGGACTGGAACAGAAATGTGTTTGAAATCATGTTTCTGTGCGTTCCAACAATTTGTGGTGTTAACTGATTTGTTTTTATTTACACGCATGTTTGTTTTGTTATAAAATGTATAAAGAGGATATATTTGATTTTCAGATTTTTCCTAAAAGGACTATTCATGCAATGTTTGTTTGTGACATGTGAAAAAGATCATAAAAAACACTTTCGAAATTCAATATTGACAGCAAGAACAAAATGTTAAAACCAAACCACCAGAATCCAGCCATAACAGCATCATCCCTGTCTGGGACACAAACTGTCCCGTGCTTTCCCTTCATAAACACAGAGGAGTGCGGGCTGGTCCTACCTGGTCCCGCTGGATGCAGGGCAGAGACGTCCTCCGGTGGGACTTGCTGTTGTTGTGACTGTGGGCCATGTCTGTGGAGATCACAGAGCTGGACCTTCTGCGCCTTTTAAACACAGGCACCTCTTGAGTGGCGCTCGCGGGGGTGCAGCCCTCCTCGTGCAGTGTCCCGGGCTGAGGCAGTAGCCTGTCAGCATACCTCGCGAGCAGGATGCCCAACACTCCCAGCAGGTACGCCACGTATGGTCTCCAAGCAGCGCGCACTTTGTGGAGCGAAAACACAGATAAAGTCCTGGCCACACTAAGGAACAAGATCACGGAAATGCGCTGGTTCAGACGCACTACCATCAGTGCGCCTGCGGCCACGCACGCGAGCACGACCACGGCCGTGCTGGGGACCGACAAAAGTGGTTCATGTGTCCCGTCCAGAAGAGAGCACGCCGCCCCTTCGGCCAGGTGCCACAGGGTGAGCAACGCGAGCGCAGTGTGGAGCAGGACCCCTCCACGGAACAGGAACACCCCCAGCCAAAAGAAGGCACATAGGAGGCTGAAGAGCGGCGAGAGCGCGCTCCAGCAAGTTTGGACCAGCTCCGCCACGCAGCTCCACACCAAGTGAAGGACAGAGTGAGAGCGCGTGCTGTGCTCAGCCCTCCACTCTGCACATCTGACCAGAAGCGCGAGGCACGCAGAGAGCGACCCAACGCACAGTGCCACTTTGTGGGAACTCCATATTCGGGACAATGGCAGCCTGAGCCAAGGCTCGTGTGGATCTGGGCTCAATGGGACAGCACGTGCTTTAACGTAACCGTTAAGGCTTTTGTCGTGAGCGTCCCTACAGTCACAGTCAGCGGGCATAGCCATCACTCATGACACAAAAGAACCAGAAGGAAGTATTTAATGTGGTCAAAGCAGGTTATAGACCGAAAAAACATGTTTGACTGGACTCTGAAAAGTCGCATCTCCGTTTACGCGCGGCCACGCGTCCCGTCACTGGGATTCTTTTGTTGTTCCAGGTGCAGCCTGTCGGAAATAACATGAAGGAAAGTCAGATGTTACAGATCTAGGACACCGATCCTTCGCACGCGCACACACACGCGCGCGTCCTCCTTTGCCCCTCTTTATTGCGCGTCTCTTTGATTCCTGTCATGTTCTTTTCTTGCGGCAGCGGTAGCTGTAAAGGCTGGAGTCCCCGCAGGACGTCAGCGTGCTCCTAGTAAGGTCCTCCTGCTTCATGCGCCCATTGTTTCACTTCTCCTGTCCTCCTGCCGTTACTTTCCAGGATAACGATGCCAAACCAAGTGCGCGTGAGTGGCACTGGCGAGGTTTTCCTCTTGTTTGTTAAAAAGAGTAATCCCAAAGTGTCTGCCTCTCCACGCGCTCCAAATGTCCGCTGTCTCTGAGCTCATTCACACCCTGAGTCCCGAATCTAACACGGAGCACAAATTGCAGCAGCTTCAGATGCCTGCTCTGCCAGCCCAGCAGGCGTTGTCCTCTCAAAATGAGACAGATTTGGATTGGTCCCGAAATTTTCCAAATACCTTAAATTTATTCATATGTCAAACCGAAACATTGTGCCTCTAGTCTCAGATACGTACGTGTAAACTCAGTGATATGCATGAATTTAAGCTATTCCCGTCTTTAATTTCAAACCTGATGGGGCCTTTGCCTTAAAGGGCCTATGTTAGACTATTTTCTAATCTTTGTTATTATGTCGTTTACTCATCATAAACATACGTGGAGTTCTGTTTTGTTTCATTCACACTTTTAATACGCAAATCTTGCATATTTTTAGGTTTTGTTCTTCTCTCAAACAAAAAATGTCTTGTAGTAATACAGGACGTTTTCCACTGTGTTTTTAAACTTCACACACCTTCACTAAAATCATTTGAATAATTTCCCTGGAATACCAATTGCGACTGAAAAAAAACCAAAAAACATTTTGAGCTTTGGAGATGTAGACAGACAAATAATAAAGGCTTACTCAAATGTGAATTAAACTGAAAGAAACACCTCTGGGTATATTTTTGAGGAAGTTACAGCATAATAACATGTCTTAAAGCTAATAAGAGTTCATTATACATAATATAGGACCTTTAAATGGAGGGAATCATATAGAAAACCTGAAAAAGATGGTATATTGATAGAAGGATGACATGCACCCACTTCTCATCACATTTGTTCACAGCTCATGTAACATCCCTGTCCTCTTCCTCTGGGACCACACATCTGACGCACAACTGTCTTCTGTCATGTTTACTGAAACACAAAGTCATTACAACACATACAACATCTGGTCCTTTCAGATAAATACATTTTTAATCTCACGCTTTCTTAAAAATACGAGACGACTGAAAATTGACTTAAAAGGTGCACTATGTGACTTTTTAGGTTGACAGTACACCACGTGGTGTGTTATTGATTTGTTTGAATGTTCCACAGTATGGCAAAAAACTTATAATAAGAAGTTGACCCCACCAGGCTGAGTTACAGGTCAGATCTGTAGAGAGGAGATCCATCTTAATAGAATGTGTGTTGTTTCCAGCCAGGTAATTTCAGACTTGTAACCTGAATAAATGCAAGATGGATAAGTTTAAAGATCTTTTTTTTCTTTTTTTTTTTTTTTTTTTTTTTAAGATTAAAGGTGCATTATGTCACTTTTCTGGTGGAGGGTCTGTCAAATGCTTTTCTCCATGGAGATGTTATCGCTTTGTCTGGAATGATTCACAGACCAGACAAACCAGACAAATTTGCAGGTCAGGTCTGTTGAGAGGCAACCCTGCTCACAGTCAGAATACCTGTTTTTATTTGATTTTATTTTGTTTGTTTGCTTGTTTTTAAAGATATTTTTGAGCTATAAAACCACCTGTAATTGAATAAATGTACATTTCAGGCAGTGCATATGATAAGACGGACTCTCAACCAAAAGTTACTTTAAACTGAGATACTTATTTTACATCGAAAACTGCAAAACTGCTTTATAAACGGCTTAATCATTTCCTGTTTCCTGAAGTGTAGAACTTAAAAGTGTAGCCTCTTCATAGTGATTTTAAATGTAGCAAGCAGCACATTTACAATTACATGTTTTTATCACTGGCTATGTGACATTTTTTGACCATGTTTGCCCCAGAATTAGATTTTGTTAGATAATCACAAGTTAGCACAGAGAAGTGGGTGGAGATAGGGGGTAGGTGAAAACAGACATTTTCAGGACAACAGAGGATTACTTAAACATACATCAAAATAAAACTGCAAGCTTATAATGACAGAACATTTTTATCACACATGTTTGCATTTCCCATTTCCTTTAACACCATACTGTGACACATACCAGGCACTGCTAGACATTTCCACAGAGACAAGAAAAGTGACATGACTCTCCTTTAAAGAGTGATGTTGTAATGTCTCCCCATTGTTTCGTGTTCACTTGTTACCCTGTGAGGGCATGTTGACAGGGCTCTTCCCATGTAGCGTGTGCTGTCTGCAGAGTTTAGCGGTGGCCTGAGGGAGTGGGGCTAACACACAGCGATAGGAGCAAGAGGAGGCCAGGCCAGTGTCCATCATAGCACACAGCTACACTCACATCTCATCACAGGGCACCAGACAGCTGTCTCCACTGTTTACAGCACAGGGTTTTACAGTTACACTAGAGCGGGTATTGTTTTACTGAGTACAACTTTGTCCAACAGTTTATTTGAATGCGATAGATACCGTCTTTTAAGTGAAGATAAAAGCAGAGGAACTAGTTGGGCCATAAAAGTGCATTATGCAACTTATTTGGTGAAGGGTCTCTGTGGAAATATTGCTTAATATCAGTGTTTCCCAAGCTTTTTTTCTGGGGACCCATATTTTTAAAAGTCACTAATCTTAGCGACTCAAGTCAATAGACAATAATTGTAAGTCACAAACTAAAGGTGGATTTGAAGATTATTGATTGATTGAGATTATTGAAAATTAATGAGGATATTTTTTAGTTGACAGAGTGATAGTGATTGTCTCTCTGGACAATTAGTTTTGCTCAAATATTAAACAATGAAAAACTGTAACCAGCAATAAAAGGATCCATAAGTCTCCTTTCAACATTCAATTGAACCAGAAATATTTGGACAAAATAGTCAATAAAATGATTACAAAAAGATTAGAAATTATACAAAACAAGTCTTAACATTTCAACTTTTCTAATGAGATAGGTGGACCCGTCTGTGTTTTTGTAGCGCGTTCCAGTCCAGGGTGCAGGAGGAGAGCGCAACAGGCAGATCAGGCGTAAAGGCAGAACTGTTTGCAGACCTACATGCAGATCATGACAAGGCAACCCCCAAAAAAATCTCTTGGACCCCCCTGAGGGTTGCAACTCAGTCTTTTGGAAAAAATGCTTTATATAGTAGTGCTCAGAGCATGCATTAACCACACATTTTGCACCTACATGTGTATAACTCATTTCAAATGGTACACTCTGGACAGTGGTCGATTCACTCTTTGCCACAACAGTATTGATCATGTACATTAAGTGGCCCATATTAAGCTGTTTTCTGATGCATGTTATAATGTTGTTTCCTCATCAACAACAAACCTGCAGACAAGCTGCAGTGATGGAAATGTGCTAGCAAATGAAGCTAACATCTGTGTACAAGAAGCAGTACTTTCCAGTTCAACTACAGTTCACAGCAGTTGGGCAGAGTCCGTGTAGCCTCTAGCCTGGGATACTCTCTGTGAAAAGTTCATCATCTCCCTATTCCCCAAACATCTCCAAATGCCATTGTGAAATAGCCTGTAAGAATTTTAACAACTGTGCACTGGTCACGTAACAGTCCGGCTCTATTTGGACACACGGCACGGTTCATTGTAAAACAGGAATCCTTATGAGGTGCAATCCATCAAGCATCTGGTTTGGATGAGGTGAGGGGTGGTGACCTCTGTGGCCTCCAGGGGTCAGAGCTGACACTTCTGATGCATACTCACTCCCAATGAATGTCCCTGGGCTGCTTCCTGTGGAAATAAAGACAACTCAACTCTGCAGTGTCACCTATGTCTAACAATCATATATGAATAATACAAATCTGCAGAAGTTTTCTTAAAAGTGCACTGTATAACTTTTCTGGTGGAAGATCTGCCACCTGCTTGTGTCCATGAAGATGCTTTGTCTCGAATGTCCAGGTATGGCATTAAACATATCCCTCTTGCATTTACTCAATAATATGGTTCTAAACATGCATTCTTACTCTGGGTAGGCTCACCTCTCCACAGATCTAACTTGGTCCTGCGGTGTATCTCCATAGAGATAAATAAGCATGCCGTCATATTGTAGAGCTTTCCAGGAAATCTGCATGGACAGAAGCAGATGATGGATTCTCCACTGTGCACTTTTAAAATCCCACCATGTAACTTTTAGACCAAAAAAATTATTCCAGTAAAAGTAGGTGATTCTTTTTTTATTACAGTGAAAAATACTGAAAAAAAAAAAGGTTCCATGAGCAGGCTTGCCTCTCCACAAACTTGACTTACATGGCCTGGAAGAGGGCCTGCTTGTTTCCATGGAAATATTGTTCCTTTGGCTATGATATTCTACATCCTATAATCTAGTCTATATTATATGTGGCTAATTGGTATATTAAGCTTTTCACAAATCCCGTAGAAAGAAGGGCGATAACGTCTTCCCCCTTCAAAAAATTCACCAAACATTCTCTTTGTTCCGGCTTTAAATCCTCAATCTCTGGAATCGTTGCCAACACAGAATGTATGGCTCTTCGCTGATTGGCCGGTGTCTGGACTTGCACTTCCACGGTTCATGCAAATCGTCTAGTGTATTCTGAATTCTGACCTAGTCGCTGGAGAGAAATGAAATTGAGCACAGGCACTAGGTGGCACCAGCCTGGCTAATGATATTCCACAGTGGGGCATACAACTCATCTATATCCATGCAGAATGTTTGGGTATGGTTTTAAATGTGGAGGATAAATGATTCTAGTGGTTTTAAGTGGGGTGTACAGTGGACTCTAACCAGTTAGCATAATCAGACAGACAACTATTCATTTTCAAATTCTGACATTTTAAAGTTTCTGGTGTGACCAGTTATCAAGAACACACCCTATTCCACCTTGTGAAGTCATGCGGTAATTCAGGAAGTGCTGCACTCTGATTTCAACCTCCATACACCTTCACTAGAATTATTTGGATAATTTCAGCCCTGGAATTGCCCATCTCCGCTGAAAAAAGGTAAAAGATAGCTGAAAACTACGCAAGGTGGAACAGATCATCTTGAACTCTGAAGATGCAGACAGACTAATGATAAAGGATTACTGAAACAAACACAACTCCAGGTTTGTTTTTTGATGAGACAACAACATTATAACACAGTTGAAAGCTCACAAGGGTCAACTTTGCGCTCTATAGGGCCTTTAAAACCACCATATATTAAATAAAGTCGTCATTTCAAAACTGTGAGTGTGATAGGAACAGTCCCTGGTCTCAAAGTGCTTGTACAAATTGTAAACATGTAGAGTTGTGCGACTGTGGCTTACGTAAAAGCAGGAGCAGAGCAGACTCGTGTACATTGTGTTTGTCAGTGGAGAGAAGTGATTGATCTTCAGTGCCGAGTACAGCAGCCCTCATGGCACAACTCGGATCAGGGCCAAGTTTCCACTGAGGAGCCTGGTCACTCACACAACAAAAATACCAGCGCTGTCCCATACACACACACATACGCACACACCTTTATCTTATCATTGTTTGACCCAAGCAGTGCCCAGGGAACCGGGGTTTTCCTATTGTACGAGGGAATAGTGCAATATTTGACCCATAGATCGAATGCTCCCATACAATGTCTCAATAGATCTTGAGGCAAGGTCTAAAACTGCATCTAACCAGAGGAGCTTCCAGTATTCTACATGATTTAAATTGATGAGGGAAACTTTTTTGCGAAGAGAACCCCAGCAGACACAGGGGGAACATACATCATACAAACTTATCTTGAAACCTTATGGGACTATGTGCATTTTTGGACAATGATTTCTTCATGAATGATAGCAATATATATTGTACTGCTATTTGAGTTTCCATTACTTGACCTGTTCCATATGCCAAAAGGTATCAAATTTCATAAACTGTTATTAAAAAGAATCAGATCCACCACCTGTTTGTCTCCCTGGCGATGTTATTTTAAGCCTGCAGTATTAAACTTGGGTATCTTGCACTTATCCAAACAGGTGTTTCTACTGCTAAAAATGCCTCGGAAAAAATACTTTCTTTGTGTGATATGGCTCGCCTCTCCACAAGTCTGGCTAGTATTGCTTGATGGTTGTTAGGGAAAATACAGTAAGTGTTGCCCTACGAGTTCAAGAATTGTAAAGAGAAACAGGAGACGCTGGATGTCTAAAGCAGGAAAAGTTTGCCACCTGCCATCTCATCTGTATGTTAAACTTCAGCCTAAATCCCTTCAGTCTGTAAAATAACTGAAGTATTATGTGCAATTTCTGTGTCACTCATAGATCATTGTAATATGATTACAATATGACAGTCTGGAATTTTGGACATAGGACCTCATTTCATAGTTAGCCAGAGTGTTGGAGATGTGTGGAGACACTTTTTTAAATATTCCATCCAGTCCTTGTATTTGCAGAGGTCACTGGTGCTAGGCTAGCGCAGGTCAATGGCCATAGTTAGCCTGACACTAAAAACAATTTTGCCCACTCCACAAAACACCAGAGGCAAATCTATTATAACGCCAGACTGTCGATGTGAAAGTCTGAGTCAATAGAATCATTTTAGAAGTAAAACCAATCTTGCATTTGAACGATTTATGTCTGAGCAGCAACAAGTTGTATTTCCTAATAGAAAGCTCGGCAGCGGCGGACTGATATCACCTAGCACCAATCTTACAGCAAAATAAAATTCTGCTGCTGCTGAGAAAATAGTCCCTCAGCATGTGACGATTCATGCGATGCAAGGTTAGTTTTATTTCAAGCATTATTCTATCAACACAGATATTTACATCTACAGTCTGGTGTAATAACAGATTTGTTTTGGGTGTTCAGACTAACTATGGCCATTGACATGCACTAGCCTAACACCAGTGACCTCTGCAAATACAAGGACTGGATGGAATATTTTAAAAAGTGTCTCCACACGTCTCCAACACTCTGGCTAACTAGAAATGAGGTCCTATGTCCAAAATTCCAGACTGTCCCTTTAATGATTATATCAGTTGACCAAAGAAAATAAACTAATTTTATTTACCATCAGTCCAGGACCTGTTGACTTAAATACTGAACGTTAGTATTGACTATTCAAGCCTGACTATACTTCCACACAAGGAGGTTTGAAGAGGAGGAAGGACAGACTCTAGACAAGCGGGCCAAAATAAAATGAGAAGTGCACCGCTTCTGGGATGAGTTGACCAAGGAAACTGATAATGTTAAAGAAGGACAAATTCTGTAAAACTTGGATGACGCCAGATAAATGTCAACAATAAACTGGAAGTGTCCTTGCTAAGACTATGCGGGGAGTGCAAAATTCCACAACAATGGTGTTTAAAGACATAAAGTGGAACATTTAACTCAAAGCAG